AAAGAAAAGGGGGGGGGGGGCAAATACACAATTTGCAAGCATAGATAAAATAAACAGTAGTATTCAGGTGCAGAAATTTAATAATTAAGTGTAAAATAACACTGCATTGTGTTCACTGTATGAATTAAATTTAGATTCATCTTTGTTATAGCTGTTTTGTTGTTTGGTTAACATTAGTGACATTCAGCAGCACGTATTTATAGGCTGCTGTCCCTTTAAATCTGACTGCACGGATCCAGTATAATGATACACATCCGATTTCTTTCTCAGCTGTTTACATTCATTTAAACATAACTGACTGTGTTTACGAGAATGATCGTCGAGATGAGTACTATTGACATAATTCTGTGTTTATGTGTCTGTTCAAACATAAGGAGGAGGAGATGCGAAAGACGAATCAACTCGGTGTTCGTGCACCATCTCTGTGTGTGTGTGTGTGTGTGCGCGCGCTTTGCACGTGTGCGGCAGAACTGAAGAGATGCTGTGCTTTAGGTGTGAGTCAGACAGCAAGACGAGACGGCAAAGAGTTGTTTTCTGCAACTTATTGCACTTAATAACTCTTTTTAATGTTAAGCAATTCTCTGCTATATGCGTCGAACTAAAACGTTGACCTTTTGCAACGTTTTGATTTAAGTAGCCTATTATTAAAATGATTCAGATATCGCAGGCCGTTGGGCATATCTATGCATGTATGCATATCGCGATATTTACATTTGCGATATTTCGATAATTTCGATATATCGTGCAGCCCTAGTAGACAGTAGAGCTGATTTTTGCATTATTCTCTTGCAGTGGTTCAGTCCAGACCCAGATCCAGCAGTTTTCCATCTACAGTAACTCGAGTGGTGTCAGGCCCTGCTCCTAAACAGCAGCACACCCCACAACCAACTCCACGCAGCAGAACCAGCACCCTGCCCAAGACCTCCACACCGCTACAGCATCACAGGTACAGAAACATTTACTCTGGTCTTCATGAAAGTAGGAGTTTTTTTTTTATTTAAACATTTTAAAACAATTACAATAAAAATAAATAAAATTAAACCGACTCTATTTATATTTGTATATTCGTGATAATGCACAATATATATATTTTTAATTGTATTTATTATCTTTTAATTGTTTTCTGCTGACATATCCAAGCTTGGTAGGGCATAATGTTTTTTTTATTCAAGCATGTCCAATCAACAGTGTTACTTTAGTATTATTAATGCACAATTATAGTATTTGTAATATTTGATATTTTTTTATACATTTTTATATTATTGTTCGTTTTTTTTTACATTTTTAATTCAGAAGAAGTTTTCCTTCATGTTTAATTCATCTGTTTTTGTTCTTTAAATGTGCCTAGTTAGTTTTTATTCATTTATATTTATATTTCTGTTTTAGTTTTTATTTTAATTATTTTAATCATTTTAGTACTTCAACTTAAACTAAATAAAAATGGTGCCTAATGTTAGAAACTAAACGAAATAAAGTTTTTTATTATTTTATTAATTAACAAATGTTAATTATTGTTAGTTATAAAATTTGGCAACACTTTATTTTAAGGTGTCCTTGTTACACGTTACATGTACTTACTACTATAATAACAATTAATTATGCATAATTACATGCAAGTAACCCTAATCCTAATCCTAACCGTATAGTAAGTACATGTAGTTAAATAATATTACTCAGTATTTAAATGTATAATTACACAGTAGCAAGGACACCTTAAAATAAAGTGTAACCTAAAATTTTAATTTTAGTTAATGATTACAACACTGACAATCAAGTTTCAATCAGACGTGTCACATTACAGAAGCGAACTGTGCTGCGCAAATGCCGTTTCCTGTTAAAGGAGACATATTATGCCCCTTTTTACAATATGTAATATAAGTCTCTGGTGTCCCCAGAATGTGTCTGTGAAGTTTCAGCTCAAAATACTCCACAGATCATTTATTATGTCATTTTGAAAATGCATATTTTGAGTGGAAGCAGAAACGAGCTGTTTTTCTGGCCTGTGTCTTTAAATGCAAATTTGCTGCTGCTCCCCGCCACCTTTTCCAGAATAGAGCTGCTAAAAACATCTGTTTTGGTTCTGATTATCATGTTTATCGCGCTGAAATCATGCGTTTTAAACCATATGAGTTTAAACTTCAGATATACGGTTTTCATCCGACCGAAGCACACGGACAGAAAGCGGCTGTCATGTGAGTACTAAGTAACGTGACATGTGACCCATACTCGGAATTAGTGCTCTGCATTTAACCCATCCAAAGTGCACACACACAGCAGTGAACACACACACCGTGAACACACACCCGGAGCAGTGGGCAGCCATTTATGCTGCGGCGCCCGGGGAGCAGTTGGGGGTTTGGTGCCTTGCTCAAGGACACCTCAGTCATGGTATTGAAGGTGGAAGAGAGCACTGTACATTCACTCCCCCCACCTACAATCCCTGCCGTTACGAGATTCCAACCCTTTGGGTTACGAGTCCGACTCTAACCATTAGGCCACGACTTCCCTTTTTTGCTTTTGCTTTTGCTTACTTACTAAACTAAGTTCTCATTCACACACAAGTTTACGTTAAAAAAACAGTCGGTTATGTCTGTAAAGGTAAACAGCTGGGAAATAAATAGCTTGTTTATTTTTGATCTGTGTGGCAGCTGCAGTATACAGTAAATACATTAATAAATCCACTGCTCTGTTGTCTCCTCTGAGGCTGGGACTCTAAACAGTGTTCTGTGCTCGTCTGTGCAGCCAAATACAGAACAGTTAGCATGTTTTGCTCAAACGTTCGCCATGCCATTAGAGCTGGTACAACGTTGTCGCTTGCGAAATCAAAATGACGGCGCCTTGAGTGGAAGTTTACAGATTAAGGGGCGTTAATATTATAATGAGATCACTTTGCCACGTCACCAAGGGAGCGAAATCTGACGCGCTCGTTTTCTCAGACGCTTTACTAAAACAAAGTAACTGGGTTAATCTTTTATACGTTTCCTTGGTCGGTAGATGCACCAGGGACCTGATTCTAGCACTTAAAACCTGGAAAAGACCGATTTTCAGGATATGTCACCTTTAACTTTATTTTGTTTGTTGATCATCAATATGATCACTGATTTTATTATGTTATCACTTTATCAATTTGTGATATTTTGTGCAATGCATTTTTCTGGGTTGTATGAACGTGCATATTGCATCTCGCCGTATATTAGAATTGTTTTTGAAGGATCATGTGACACTGAAGACTGGAGTAACGAGGGTTATTATATAGTTATTTTAAAACTAAAAACCATAAACAACATTTTTGTCACTGTAAGTACAATAAATGTTAACTGAACCAAAATAAAATATAATTAAAAAAAAAAAAGTTATTATATTTCGTCTAGTTGACAAGGTGACATTTCTCATTTCTATTTAGTTTAACTTGATGTACTAAAGAACTAAAACTGAAATAAATATGAATAAACACTGTATAGACATTGAAAAAAAAACTAATAATAATGACAAAATTATTAAAGTTTAATTAAATGTCAAATGAAAACAGAAAATATAAAAATAAAAACGAATTCAAAGCATTAATAAAAACTGTAATAGGATCTCAGTAATGCTAAAATAACACTGGATTAATGGATGCTGAAAATTCAGCTTTTCCATCACAGGAATAAATTACATTTTTAAATAAATTAAAATAGAAAACATATATTTTAAATGGCAATAATATTTTACAATAATTCAGTTTTTATTGATTTCCAATCAAAAATATGCAGCCTTAGTGAGCACAATAGACTTAAAAAATGTGTACTGACCCCAAATTTGTGAATGAAAGGTATAATTGCCTTTTTTGATTTTTGCATTTTTTACTCCTGAAATGAGTTAGTCTTTATCTCTATATTAGATTTGTAATGTGTTGTCCTGCCCTGTTGCTTTCAGTACACAGATGAAGATGATGAGGATGATGACTGGGATATCTCCTCTCTGGAGGATGTGCCCGCTGTGACCAAACCCAGCCAATGTCCCGTACCCGTCAGGAAGAGCCTGGACAAGAGTGTGGACACCAGCACGAGTGTGTGGGGCTCATCGACGGCCAAAGGACAGAAGCCAGGTACATAGAATTCATTATTAACTCAAAATATTTTATTAATGAGGAATCATGGCTATAAATGATTTACATCTTAGAAACTCAGATTGCTTGCAGAAAGACTACTGTGGTTTTTGATTTAATCTGAAATGTACATATTGTCCAAACAATTGTCAAACAAATGTAATTTTTTGTATTTTAAATAATTGAATTAATACGTTACTATTACTTGTTCTATTTTAGTGTAAAGACTGGCTGTGATTCTGATTTCTTTCTTTGTGTTTCTTAGGCCTCACAGACGCAGGAACCGGCAGCACTCTCAAAAGCAGTTTAGTGAGCGTCAGCGACTGGGATGATTCAGATGAGATATAATAAAATGCAGCAGAGCAATACCAAAACATCCTCAAGTTAATATACCTTATAATTGTAATATCCAGTATCTATTGTAGCTCAGGCTTAGTGATCTTTCAGGGACAGCAGTGCAAGAACTGATATTAACAGTGTTAAAGGTACTTTATATTAAATATAACAGTACAAGTACACCTAATGCTAAGGAACAGCCAAGGGATGTTGCACTTTAAAATGATTGCCTCATATTTTTTGATAGTTTATGCAATGTGTAAAAAACTGATTTATTAAATTCACTTTTGCAAACACTTCAAAGATTCTTTGTTTTGGACATACAAGCATTTACATTTAATTATTTAGCAAATGAGGAAAATAGAAGCAATCAAACCAGCAAAAGAGCAACAATATGTAAGAATCGCAATGGATCGAGACAACAAGCATTGAAACTGGTCTTTAAACATTGGGTTACACGGCTGAGTCTACAAGGGGCCTGACAGTTCTTGGAAACTGGTTTTCTTGTGTTCCTCTCCTCCCTCTACTCTCTCTATTTTCTCTGTTCACTCTGTATGATTGGTGTGAAGGAGGGATGATGACTGTTGTGGCTCTGGACGAGCCCGGCAGCATGTTCGTCCGTCTGGTGCGCGCTGTCATGTGTGTTGGGGGTCTCCTGAGTGTCTTGGTAAACCTGAGGAAGTGCAAAAAATATTGAAAACACAGTGCACTACTATTCAAAAATTCAGCATTCAGCAAGGATGCACTACATTGATAAATGTCTATGATGTATGATTTTACAAAAGATTTTAATTTCAAACAAATGCTGTTTTTTATATATATTCATCAAAGAATACTTTCAAAGTGTCACAGTTTCCACAAAAATAGTAATGTAAGCTGTTCAACATTGATAATAATACAGTGCAATAGGCCAGACCTTCGTGGGAATGACTTTCTCGCAGAGAAATAGCACATGACTGCACTCCCACATATAACCAGACACGAACCTCCCCAGCCGATGAAGAGAGCTGCACCGAGTTCAAACCTGAGGAAAATTAAAAAGAAATTTATGTGAAAATACATTCTCTTTACCCAGTTAATCTTGTAAGTATGCCATTCAGGGGACTTTAGCTCCTGAAATAGTAAAGTCTCCCAGGCACTATCAAAACATTTAAAGCTGGCTGCTCGGATACAGCAATCTCTTCCAGCTCAACCAATAGCGAGAGTTTGGCGTGGCTACTGTAGCTGGCTGGCAGGGTTGCCAAGTCCGCAGGTTTTCCCGCGGAATTGGGCTGAAGCGGGTAGATTTTTCTCCCGCGGGTTAATTGTTTGACATATTGGATACATTTTATTTGACTGAAATGCTTGTACTGAAATATTTATATTTTACTATTGATAAAACTGCGGTAGATTTTATGTTTTGTGCAGGAAGGCCACTGGTAAGGAGCCTTATTTGAGCTGTGTTTATGACCACTACCATATATTGGTTTTCAATTTGCTTAACATTGACTGTAAAATATGTCCTCTATGGAACAGGAATTGCCTATTTTGAGTTTTGATATTTGGGATATGGTCATTGGGCTACTTGACTCTTTTGATTGGCTATTGGGCTAGTTTTGTTACGCAGACATGGCAACCCTGCTGGCTAAGCCAGAATGTGTTTAGTTGGTGCTACTGTGGTTTTTGATTTAATCTGAAATGTACATATTGTCCAAACAATTGTCAAACAAATGTAATTTTTTGTATTTTAAATAATTGAATTAATACGTTAATATTACTTGTTCTATTTTAGTGTAAAGACTGGCTGTGATTCTGATTTCTTTCTTTGTGTTTCTTAGGCCTCACAGACGCAGGAACCGGCAGCACTCTCAAAAGCAGTTTAGTGAGCGTCAGCGACTGGGATGATTCAGATGAGATATAATAAAATGCAGCAGAGCAATACCAAAACATCCTCAAGTTAATATACCTTATAATTGTAATATCCAGTATCTATTGTAGCTCAGGCTTAGTGATCTTTCAGGGACAGCAGTGCAAGAACTGATATTAACAGTGTTAAAGGTACTTTATATTAAATATAACAGTACAAGTACACCTAATGCTAAGGAACAGCCAAGGGATGTTGCACTTTAAAATGATTGCCTCATATTTTTTGATAGTTTATGCAATGTGTAAAAAACTGATTTATTAAATTCACTTTTGCAAACACTTCAAAGTTTGATTGGCTATTGGGCTAGTTTTGTTACGCAGACATGGCAACCCTGCTGGCTAAGCCAGAATGTGTTTAGTTGGTGTGGGGGGACTAGGGCTAACGGTCATGGGACAAGAAACTCGGTTACAGAAGTGCAAACCAAAATTGGACTTACCAAAAAAGCAGAGATAGATAACTTGAGAAAACAAGGGTAAACACTGGCGGGTGCGTTTACCAGATGGAGGAATTTTTAAAAATGTTTCAGTTGAGACAACGAACTCGCGGAGCAAGCTAAACTTGCTTTCTCACTGTTAGCTGTTTACTGTCGAGCCCCAGATAAAATAGCAAGATATTGTAAGTATACGAATAATCTTAAGGGGCTTTTGAAAATGTTGTTTGAATTTATTTTTTTTAATTATTTCGTAATTTCTCTAGGTTACACTAGTAGCGCAGAAACTGCATACCTCACCTTTAAACACTTTCATTTATTATTATTACTGAAATAATTATAAATGCATGACTATTTTAAAATATATCATAGTTACATACTTCTGTTCCAAGTAATATGGATCCACAAAGTTTGAACGCACATTATTTCCCCACCAGGAGTACACTATCATACCACAAAAACCTGCCAAACAGACACAGCAACACATCAGTTTATGATACTCAATTTATGCGTTATGAAAAAATGTTAATGAAGGAAGGTTTGTACCAGATGCCATGTACGTCAATGCTGCTGCAAATGTAACTCTGGCGTTGGCGAGTTCAGAGCCTCCGATTTTGGTACATTTCATCCCAATAAGAGCGAGAACAGCCCCCCAGAAGCCAAAGATCACAGAGACGACAGCCAGGGCCCTGCTTACATGGAGGAAAACTAACAAACCAGAGAGAGAGAGACATGAAAAGCATCTCCTATGGAAGCCCATTTCCACCAAAAAAAAAAAAAAACATTTTCTCAATCACCATAGAATTTAAAAAAGTGAATTGAGAATTTATCTCACAAAATTTACAATTCTGACTTTTCTGACTACTGATTTTTTATTTTTTATTTTTTATCTTGTGGCAGAAACCAACTTCCATAATCTCCGGATTGAGAAACTTGATTATATAATTAATGTATATAATTAAATAGTGTATGCATCACCTAGGCTGCATTTGTTTGATCAAAAATACAGTAAAACAGTGATATTGTGAAATATTCCAATTTAAAATAATGTTTCTATTTTAATATGTAATTCTAATTTAATATGAACTTTAAGGATTTAAGGAAACAGTTGTACTGCTCAATATTTTTCTGGAAACCTTGATACTTTTTTTCAGAATTCTTTGATCAATAGAAAGTTCAATAGAACAGCATTTATTTAAAATAAAAATCTTACCAATATGAATGTCTGTACTGTCACTTTTGCTGAATAAAAGTGCTTATTTCTTCAATATATATATATATATCACTGTCCCCAAACTTTTGAACAGTAGTGTATATCTATAGTGAAGTTTTCATTTCAAATAAAAGCGTAATTGTAGATTTAGATATTCAAAACAAAAACAAACATTAAAAAGCAAAAGTAAAGTTTCACTTAAAATGTGTTTTGCCTTACACACTAAACATATTTATTGAATAATGTATTCTCTTTCTTCTAAGACCTGTGAGCCTCTCATTTCTTTTTCTTTTTTTCACCAAATAATGACAGTCACCAAATCAGTTTCAACAGTGATTCCGTCTGTACTGTCACTTTTGCTGAATAAAAGTGCTTATTTCTTCAATATATATATATATATATCACTGTCCCCAAACTTTTGAACAGTAGTGTATATCTATAGTGAAGTTTTCATTTCAAATAAAAGCGTAATTGTAGATTTAGATATTCAAAACAAAAACAAACATTAAAAAGCAAAAGTAAAGTTTCACTTAAAATGTGTTTTGCCTTACACACTAAACATATTTATTGAATAATGTATTCTCTTTCTTCTAAGACCTGTGAGCCTCTCATTTCTTTTTCTTTTTTTCACCAAATAATGACAGTCACCAAATCAGTTTCAACAGTGATTCCTCACCAGGCAGGTCCATCATGGAGGGGTAGTATTTACAGTCAGATACTCCTGTGGTGTCTGAGACACAGTCCATCCAGAGGTTGGAATAGTAATTACCGGTGGTCAGAACCACAGAGCCGACCTCCGAGAAGGTCCAGTACTCAGTGGCCAGAGTGGAACAGATCAAAATCCAGCCACTTAAACACAACAAAAAGCAACCGATCTCCACATGCATCACCACTGTTCGCTGCCTCATGCTGCCAGCTTCATACGACTGATGAACGGAACAGAAGTTGAGACTTCCAAGAGAAGTTGAGAAACAGAAAGTTCCTGAACTGCTGTGAGGTTTTAAGCCAACATGGAATAAAATTACATGGTGGTGTGCGTCCTTAGAGGACAGTTTCCTCCTGTCTTGGTATCTGCATCCACAGTGCTTTCTTCGGCATATCGCAGCTTCAAACTGGTCAAACTACATGCTTTTACCTCATAAGCAGTTTCACAATCCATGAGATTTGTCCGATCTCTGATTCTGACAACCAGGGTCACCGGGTCAAAGTCTCTGAAAAGACCCTTTCCCAGGACATCATTGACCAGCTAAAAGAGCATTCAATAAGTTATGGATCAAAATAAAACAATATGTGAAAAAGACGGGAAGTTATCACCTATTGTATCAGCTTTCAGGCGGAAATCTTAAGTCTGACGGTTCAGAAGAGTAAAAGATTCACGGTTTCATTCATGGCCAGAAAAACATACAGAACTAATAGTGCAGGACGTGTGTTGTCCTTGAAAGAACATCGACTGACTATTAGATCTAATATTGTCATATGGTGAAGTACGGTATGTTCTTATTAAATCTGATATTTATCTCCTATGCAGGCTCATATGTCAAATAAGGTGTAAGTTATACGTGATGATTGCAGTAGAGCGGCACGAACAGTGAAACTCATTCTGTTTATGTATAAACAATATTCAGCAACGTTTGAAATGCTTGCAGAAATGGAGATAAAGCAAGTGAAACTAC